TTTTTTGCAGTACGCGGGCCTCTCACTGTTGTGGCCTCTCCCGTTGCAGAGCACAGGCTCCGGACACACAGGCCCAGCGGCCATGGCTCACGGGCCCAGCCGCTCCGCGGCATGTGGGATCTTCCCAGACTGGGGCACAAACCCACGTCCCCTGCATCGGCAGGCGGACTCTCAACCACTGCGCCACCAGGGAAGCCCGGGAGTTAGGACTTTGTAACATATTTGGGGAGATATAATTCAACCCACAAGAGATGATAAGGGTCTTGTTCCTTCTTTTATGTGTTTTCTCTTTTAATCTTTAAATGTGCTCAGTTAAACTTGGCAGATTTTATTACCTTAAACCAATATTGCATGCCAACTTATTCATATTGTGTTCATATATATATACACACACACATATATATGTGTTACTTGACTCAGTGTGCTAACATTTAATACTTTTGCATGTTTATCTATAAGACTGATCTATGATTTTCCTTTTTCCTATATCCTTATCTGGTTTGGATATCAAAGTTATACTTTACACTGGCTTTATAAAATGAAGTAGGATACGTTCCTCCTTCTTTTTTATTCTCAGGAAAATGTATTGTGTAAAATTGGAATTATGCGATTGCCAAAGGTCTGGTAGAACTGTTAGGAGATCCATCTGGACCTGGTGCTTATTTTATGGGACAGTGTCCATGAAATCAGAGTATAGCCCGAGGTCTTGCATTGTGTAAGTGCATCAGCTCTCCCAGGCTCGGCCAAGTGCTACGAAGAGAAGTAGGGCCTCTAGAAGGCTGTTGTAACAGTTCTTCAAGTAAAGAACACAGAAAAACATTTTTGAAGCTTATGGGTAATCTCAAAATCTGCTGCCCAGCTCTCTGTGTAGCAGCAAGAAGGGACTTATTGAACTGAGGTTTCCTAGGAAACCTAAAGGGACCTAGGAAGTTGCCAAAGCAACAGGTTCTTTGGACAGTGGCTTCAGGTGTAACTACAAGATACTGTGTACATCTGTAGAAGAAAACTAGTATTTTTACATTAACATTTTCAAAGACACTCAGATTCTGATTATCACTAGTGGTGGTGTGTATATTCTTAATTTGGTGGAAAGTAATCGCTAATATTTAAATTTTGGCCCTTAGCACACATGTTGCTTTATACTGTTACTTGTGTAGTTTTCTATTATGTCCTTAATGAGATTGGGAGACTCTTGGGAAGGGCACAGTGTCTTGTAACATTTTTTGCACACATACAGGTGCTGGTTGCATATGTAATGTTATCTGTTTTTATTGTCCATGAATGTATTAATATTTTTCCCTTTTTTTCTCTAGGTATATATTTTGCAATTTTGAGAACACTGAAATATTGATCTTTTAAATTACAGCCATGCTTTTAAGGTGCAGTTCTAAGAAAAAGTTAGTTTAAATATCAGATCAGTTTGCAATCACACGATAAAGTATGAATTGTACAGTTTAGAGAAATTTTGAATCTTATTACCATGTTAAAACCTCTCTGAATTCAGACCCCAGTAAGGTGGACTTAATATAGGGAGGTACAGCCTAAAGTTTATCTTTCTGTGATTCATTATTTTATCCAAGTAAATTTATCATGTGACTAGATCATGGAGGAAATTTTCCTGCTGCTTAAAGGAATAAATCATTTATTTATTTATTTATTTATTTATTTATTTTGTGGTACGCGGGCCTCCCACTGTTGTGGCCTCTCCCATTGCGGAGCACAGGCTCCAGACATGCAGGCTCAGTGGCCATGGCTCACAGGCCCAGCCGCTCCGTGGCATGTGGGATCCTCCTGGACCGGGGCACGAACCCGTGTCCCCTGCATCAGCAGGCAGACTCTCAACCACTGCGCCACCAGGGAAGCCCGGAATAAATCATTTTTAAGTATCAGAATGTTTAGTGTCAGCTTTCATTTACCTCCATGTAATTCTGTTTTAGCAACTTTGGAGTTTATAATACACTATTGTTGACCTTTGTGCTGTGAATTGGCTCTCCAGGACTTTATCTAGCACTAGATACACACTTGCACCCTTAAACAAAATCTCCCCAACATGCCCCCAGCACCTGGGAACCACCATTCTACTCTCTGTTTTCAGGAGTTCAGCTTTTTTAGACTCCACATATAAGTGAGATCAGTCAGTGTTTGTCTTTCTCTGCCGTATCTCACTTAGCATAACGCCTTCAAGGTCCACGCATGCTGTTGTAAATGGCAGTATTTCATTTTTCTCATGGCTAAAGAATACTCCCTTTGTATAGACGTATATGTATGTATGTGTGCGTGTATGTGTGTCCATATATCTCACATTTTCTTTATCCATTCATCCATTGACAGACACTTAGGTGGTTTCCGTATCTTGGGTATTGTGAATAGTGCTGCAGTAAACATGGGAGTGCAGAGATCTCTTCGAACTTCTTTTTTCATTTCCTTTGGATATATACCGAGAAATGGAATTGCTGGATCACATGGCATTTCTATTGTTAATTTTTTGCGGAGCCTCCACAGTGTTTTCCATAGGGGCTACACCAGTTTTCCACCGACAGTATACAAGTGTTCTCTTATCTCCACATCTTCATCAATACTTGTTGTCTTCTTGATCATAGCCATTCTAACACATGTGAGGTGATGTCTCATGGGGGTTTTGATTTGCATTTCCCTGATGATTAGTGTTGTTGAACACCTTTTAGTGTACCTGTTGGCCATTTGGATGTCTTCTTTGAAAAAAATGTCTATTTAGTTCCTCTGCACATTTTTTATTGGATTGTTTGTTGTTATTATTATTGATTTGTATGAATTCTTTATATATTTTGGGTATTAATCCCTTATCTGATATATGGTTTGCAAATATTTTCTCCCATTCTGTAGGTTGCCTTTTCATTTTGTTGATTATTTCTTTTGCTGTGCAGAAGATTTTTAGTTTGATGTAGCCCCACTTGTTGACTTTTGCTTGTGTTGCTTGTGCTTTTGGTGTCATATTCAAAAAATTATTGCCAGTCCAAAGTCAAGGAGCTTCCTTCCTACGTTTTGTTTCAGTTTTACGGTATCAGGTCTTATGTTTAAATCTTTAATCCATTTTGATTTAATTTTTGTGAGTGATGTGAGATGGGGTCCAATTTCATTTTTCTGCACGTGGTTATCCAGTTTTTCCAGCATCATTTACTGAAGAAACTATCCTTTCCCCATTGAGTATTCTTGGTTCCCTTGTCAAATATTAGGTGATTGTATAAGTGGAGGATTATTTCTGGGCTCTCTATTTTGTTTTATTGATCTCTGTGTCTATTTTTATGCCGGTACCATACTGTTTAAATTACTATAGCTTTGTGGTATAGCTTGAAACCAGGAAGTTTGATGCCTCCAGTTGTGTTCTTCTTTTTCATGATTGCTTTGGCTATTTGGGTCTTTTGTGATTCCATACAAATTTTAGGATTATTTTTTCTATTTCTGTAAAAAATGCCACTGGAACTTTGATAGGAATTGTATTGGATCTATCGATGGTTTGGGGTAGTACGTACCTTTTAACAATGTTAGTTCTTCCAATCCATGAACATATTCAATAGGTAGCCTTCCATTTGTGTCCTCTTCAGTTTCTTTCATCAACATCTTGTAGCTTTCATTGTACAGGTCTTTCACTTCCAGCCTTTGCTGGAACGCATCAAAGAATTAGGGGTTCGGTCTCTTATGAGGCAACGCTTTTGGATACGGAAAGTGAGAAGAAGTCCAGCCAGCCGCCCTCTGACTTCATCAGAGCCTGCAGTTCTCTTTAGAGTTGCATAATCCCCCTCTCCTGCTTGAGGCTGTCAGGGACTACTGGGCGTGAGTCTGCTTTCTGGCCAGCGGAAACATCAGGGAAAAGCCATCTTGCTCATTCCTGCTGCCTCTAACTTTGTGGAGTGTGAAACCAGTGTCCTTTCTGGAGGAAGAAGTAGAAAGCCCAGGGTTAGAGTGTGGGGCAGTCTGTCCTCTGGTGGAAGTAATCCATTAACTGACCTGTCAGTAACCTCACAAATCCACTGAGTACCTCAACTCACCACCTGCAAGCCTTGGAGACTTGCAGCACATCTCTTCTTTTATTCTTTTTGGGCACGCTGTGCAGCATGTGGGGTCTTAGTTCCCCAACCAGGGATCGAACCCACATCCCCTGCAGTGGAAGCACGGAGTCTTAACGACTGGACCGCCAGGGAAGTCCCGAGGCACGTCTACTGCTCCAGCGAACAAGTTTCCTCTGGGAGCCAAATACGGTGCTGGGGCAATGTGCGTACCTCAGTGGGAAAAATACAAGGGAATTTGGGGTGTGATCCGTGCCTCTGTGTCTCCTGCGAGATCTGAGGGGCAGGAATTAACCACACAATGTAGGTTGCTCTCCGCCATTCACTTAGACACCGAGTCTAGTGGCTGGTGAGGCTCAGGGGAACATCAGTGAGGATCACTTGTGCCTTTTTCTGAAGTGTTTTTGTTGCGTTGTCTGTGTGAACAGGTGTGCTTGTCTTCTGCCCACAGGTGTGTTTCCAGGAGCGGTGTAAGGAGACGCCCTATAAGTCTCAGCTCTCTTGAGAATGGGCAGGGTGACACTTCGTTAGAGGCGCGCGTGTGCTCTCCTGCCGGGGTCTCTGTTTGCCTGGTGGGAGGAGACCAAGTGGGAAATATTTTTTTTTTTTTGCGCTACGTGGGCCTCTCACTGCTGTGGCCTCTCCCGTCGCGAAGCGCAGGCTCCGGACGCGCAGGCTCAGCGGCCACAGCTCACGGGCCCAGCTGCTCCGCGGCATGTGGGATCTTCCCGAACCGGGGCACGAACCCGCGTCCCCTGCATCGGCAGGCAGACTCTCAACCACTGCGCCACCAGGGAAGCCTGGAAATCTTTTCTCTCCTTCACTTTTTTCCAATAGCGCCGAATGATTTCCTTTCCCTGAAATCAGAGCTGGGAATTCACGTATATTTATCGTGACCGGAAATGGTTGTGCTTGGTCCTCGTTCCTCTAACTTACCTTTCTTTTCCTCTCCCGCAGGTCAGCCGCAGACATGATGAGCACCAAGGCGTTCACCCTGGTCCCCGCCGTCGAGCGGGAGCAGCTGATGGGCGACAGGGAATGGGTGTCACTGGAGTGTGTGGAGTGCTGCGGCCGGAACCTGTACGTGGGCACCAGCGACTGCTTCGTGTACCACTTCCTGCTGGAGGAGAAGACCGTGCCCGGCGGGTCGGCCACGTTCACGGCCACCAAGCAGCTGCACAGACACCTGGGTTTCAAGAAGCCGGTGAATGAGCTGCGGGCGGCGTCGGCCCTCCACCGGCTGCTGGTGCTCTGTGACGGCTGCATCACCCTGGTCCACATGCTGAGCCTGGAGCCCGTGCCCTCGGGCGCCCGTATCAAGGGGGCCACGGCCTTTGCCTTGAATGAGAACCCGGTGAGCGGAGACCCCTTCTGCGTGGAGGTCTGCATCATCTCCGTCAAGCGCAGAACCATCCAGGTGTTCCTGGTGTACGAGGACCGCGTGCAGATCGTCAGGGAGGTGTCCACTCCGGAGCAGCCCCTGGCAGTGGCGGTGGACGGCCACTTCCTGTGCCTGGCCCTGACCACCCAGTACATCATCCTCAACTATAGCACGGGCGTCGCCCAGGACCTGTTTCCCTTCTGCAGCGAGGAGAAGCGGCCCATCGTCAAGAGGATAGGGAGACAGGAGTTCCTCCTGGCAGGCCCCGGCGGATTGGGTGAGGCACCTCGGCTAACCTGGCCGACCTCTGCCCGGTCTCCCCGCGTTCCGTCCTTGAATTCACGCTGAGATCGGAGAGGCAGATTGTGGTTCTGAAAGCTAGACGCTCGTGCAAACAGAACTGCACGCCCAGTGCTTGCGCAGTTTGCATTAGATGGTTTTGTGAGTGTGGGTTTAATGGAACAAAAATAGGCCGCTCTTAGAATCACATTTCCTTTGTGCTAGAGTAGAGCCTGACGATGGCTCTGGGGAGAGAATTCCACTAAGGGGATAAGTACACGAAGAAGAATCTGTAAGACTTCTCGATAAGATTTTCTCCTGTGGGTGGGTTTCCTAGCGGATTGTTTTTATTCTCCATTCTGAAAGGAGCTGAGGGAGCTCACTTAACAGATGATTTCAGAGGTGGAGGCTCCAAGGGTATGTCCCCGGTTTTCTCTTACTGACTGCAGTTTCGTCCCACCAAAAAGCGTCTAGCAGCTAGCTCCTTAAAAGGGCTTGAGCTGTTTGGTGTAGCCTTCCTCATTCTCCGCGCTGCCTCCTAAGAATCAGAGCTGGCAATGTCATCTGTGGTCATGGTCGTGGATGGTTCATAGTGTGTGTGTCTGGGACAAGCAGGGGCTGAGACGAGTGAGTCTCCCTTAACACCCACAGTCTTTAACCTGTCTTCCTGCCCTCTTACAACTTGGTGATGTCCGTGGCTATGCCTGGATCCTTTAAGTCCCAAGGGGCTGCCGAAGGGCAGCGTTCTGTTGCTGTCCATTCCTCCTTCCTGTCGACTGGAACCTTCTGCAAGAGAAGCTTCTCATTAACTTGGTTTGCCCCCAGGATCACCGTATAAGAAAGGCAGGAGAAGGAGGTTTTCGGAAAGATGACCCTTCTTCCCTAAGTGAAGTGTCGCCATGAATCATGGATGTAAATGTATGTGGCGTTTCAGTCCATCTGCCCTTGGGGGTGGTTTATTCAGGTTGACGGCAAGCCCCTTCCCCACGCCCCGGGAACGTTGGTATCTCCCTTGCCTTCTGCTGTGACAAGGTGTCCGGGGTCCCTCTGTACGCTTCCTGCCCTAGATCTGGTTTCCGCCATTTCTCCAAGGACCCCTGATGTTTAGAGACCGCAGTCTGGGTGCTGGAGGTGCTTGGGGTCTGCTGTTTCTAGGTCTCTTGGGTGGACAGAGCTGGGAAGTATGCCTTATTTAAAGATAAAACCCATCATGAGAGTATATCGCTGGAACAAGTTTGGGGCTACTGGGCCCTGACCCCGTCTGTCTGCGTGCCTGTGTCTCCTCCCGCCCACCCCCAAATCCTAGTAAGGTCCCACCGTGACGTGGTTGTTCCTTTGATCTGCCCCACAGGACACAGAGCAGGAGGACAGGACCGACACCACTGCGCCCGCCATGTAATCACCAGAAAACGTTTGATTGTAGTTCTTTTGTCCTCAGGGTACGGGCCGTGTAACCCACTAGGAACGTGCAGTCACATTTCTGCGTTTAAAGTCACTGGGAGTAGTTCCCATCCGTGTGGCTCTGCCGACAACGGGATATACAGTTAGACGGATGTGCTTCGTTTCACTTTCCATTTCTAGAAATTGCTTTCTCTCATTGTTTTCTTCTGTAAATATGTACAAGTTTCCACGTCAGATCCACACAGCAAGGTACATTCCCCTACTCTCTCCTTCCCCCAGAGGTAACCTTTATTAGTGTTTGTCCTTTCATTTTCAAATAAAAATTATAAATGAATATGTAGATATGTGTATCTCCCTCCTTCAGAGTTGCAGGCTGTCTCTCCCGTGTGGAGGGACCACCGTGCCTCAGTCAGGCCCTGGTGGTGGGCATTTGGGTTTTTTCCAGTCCATGGTATTAGTAGGAGCTTATCTGTTTGGATTTTTCCAGTGTATCTGTGGGAAATCTTTCTAAAGATGGGGTTGCTGAGTCCACATGTAAACGCATGTGAATCTGGAGGGGGACACTACCACCCACCCCCCACCCACCCCCGACAAAGGTGGTAGGTACCGTTTTCTCTTCCCCTGGCACCTGTTTCCCCTGAGCTTTGCCAGCAGCGTCCATATATTGTCAGACTTTCGTGGTTTTGCCCGTCTGGCACATGAGGAATGGTATCTCAGTGGTGTTAATCACATTTCTCCTTTTGTAAGCAAGATGGAACATTTTTCAAGAATTGAAGAGCCATTTGCCTTTCTTTTGATAATTATCCCTTCTCGCTAGCTGGTTACTTTAGCATTTGTTATATATTTGAGATACCAACTTGTCTGAGACGTGTTTCAAATACCTCCAGTTTTTACCCTGAAAAAGCGTGTCTTATACGTTTCTATATAATCAAATGTATTAACCTTCGTACTTTATTGCTTCTTTTCTGAGTCATAATTATTAGGGATGTTTCCCCCTCTCCCAGGTTGTAGACAGATTCACCCAGATTTTCTGCTGGTACTTTTATGGTTTCATTTCTTACAGTGAAGAGTGAATTCGATTTCCTCTTCGTCTGTGTGGTTGTCTGCTCTCCCCACACCTGATTCAGGAGTCTGTCTTTCCTCGCTGGTGGCGGTGGCTGCCTCTCAGGTACAGTCAGTTTCCTCATGCCGTTGGGCCTCGCCTGATGGGTTTCCTGTTTTGTTCCGTCAGTCCGATTGCTTATTGATGAGCCGGAGCCTGCTTTGGATGTAAAGGCTTTGTTGTGAAAACATTTGACTCCAGTACCTTGTGTTGGTTTTAGTGTCCAGATTGAAGGGAAATGGTAGGCAATCATGTTCAGGCCTCATTTTTCCTCAAACTTAATCTGCCTCAACTACCTGGGCATCATGGTAAATGAACCAACCTTCTTAATCGTTGTTCTGCTTGTAATAGGTGTGATTATAAGCAAATTGGAGATCCCTCTTAAGCTCTGTAATACATCACTATATGCAGGCTCTGTGTACAACACAGTCATCACCACCATCGTTAAAAGGCTTCAGAAATTAAGTTCAAGCAAATTACTGTAATGAATGCATATGCACCATCAGACATATCAACGCTGTATGTTTTCATTTTGCCCACTGCCTTCCCCCCTGAAGATCACATGTGCCCACTGCCCTGTCATGAGAAATTGCTCTTAACTTTTTGCCTTAGTTTTTTTGTGTATTTTTTGTTTTGTTTTTTGGGCGGGGCCGCGCAGCCTATAGGATCTCAGTTCCCCGACCAGGGATTGAACCTGGGCCCCGGCAGTGAAAGCCCAGAATCCTAACCACGAGGCCACCAGGGAACTCCCTGCTTTAGTTTAAATTGCACTATTTTAAGCAGCGCTTTGTTGAAAATTTCATAATACAATTGATTATTGTGACTTTAAACTCTATCCTTGGATAATGCTTCTTGAACAATGTAGATAATTCAGCTATTCCGTACCTCTCATGGCCCCCCTTCCCCCTCCCAGCTCAGATAAGGGGGTCCCCTGATATTTAGAGGGTGGAAACCGTCTAAATGGAAAAATAACGCAGTGGAAAACAATGGTTTTTGAAGGTGTACCATTTACAAACGTGGTACATTTGCAGGTTGACAGCACTTGTGTGCCTTTGACAATACAGAAACAATAGCGCGTGTCACCTGCTTTCAAGCATAGAATCGGTGGGTGGGTGTCAACAACGGTGCCCCTGACGGTGGGTCAACGGTGTTCCTGAGTGGACCAACGGTGCCCCAACGGTGTTCCTGAGTGGACCCATGGCACCTTAACTCCACCTGACCTGGACCCCTGGTTGCCAGTTACTGATCTGCTCTTTTATTCCGGTGAAATCCTGTGCTTTCCTTTTTGTGTGGAAGCCTCTGTTCTGGATCTCTGGTTTCTGCCCTTTTCATTGCAAGAACATTCATGTCTGGGCCTCTGTGCTGCACAGTCCCCGGTCGGGTGATGCCCGGCCTTAGCGGGTAAGTGCTGATTTAATTCCAGGGCGAGGCTGGACAGCGTTTTGGTGTCCGTGCTCCCATGAGAGCTGTGCTATCCAGAACACAGTTGTTTGATCTGAAATTCACAGGCTCCTTGGGGTTGCCGTATGCTTGTCCCGTCACCAGGTTACGTTTGCCAGACATCTGGGTGCAGACGGTGTGCTTTTCTCTCCCTTCGGGCTCTTTCGCTGGCTGGTTCTAAATGCTCGGAAAATTCTAGAGGGTGCGAACCTCATTTCCTCCTGCCAAGCTCGAGCTTTGCACCTCGAGTTTCTCTCCCTCCATGTGTTTCACGCTCTTTGAATACTTCGGCGATGCAGTTGTGGGGTAACTCAGACCTTAGTTCCGTCCTCTCTGTGACTGTACAGTGTCAGACGTGCCAAAGTCCATGCCTTCACTCTTGTGCCCTCTCCACCCCTGGCCCAGAACCCACTGCCCTGTCGGCCCCTCTTACCTACTGGCGCTGAGCTTTCCGGGGTTTTCCACATTTCCACCGAACTCCTTGACTCCTGGTCTGCTCTGGAAAGAAGTAAGGAGGAGCGCTCGCCAGCCTCAGAGGAACCTCCTCTCCCCATGGCCTGGCGTCCCCTGGCTCTCCTGCTGCAGGAAGGGTGCCCTCACCCCTGAGGATGCACTGGAGCTCCAGGCGCCCCTCCCAGAGGTCCATGCCCTGCCAGCCCTGCATCCTGACCCCGGCTTGGTCTCAGACCCGCCCGATCGTGTCGGTCCTTATTCTGATGGCGCATGGTGGCCTTGACTCTCGCTCCCTCTAAGTCAGGTGCCCAGTTCCATGATTCGCCCCGGAAGTTACCCCTCCTCGGTCAGACCCCCCGTCTGGCCTGACTCAGGGCTCCTTCCTGGTGGCTGGCGGCTGCCTGGCCTCCCCCGAGTTTGGGTCTGTCCCTCCTTCCAGGCTCCTGCCAGGCCAGCCTTCCTAAGGCCCCTGTAACGAATTCAGCCTGACTTTCCTGGTCAGCGTTTCCTGCTCTGCCCCGAACTTGAACTTGACTTTCTGACCCTCAACATCCCAGGCAGGGTTTGCTCTCTTCCGGGGCCACATACGCACTTCCCTGCATCCCGGGGACCCTCGTGCTTCTTGCCGCGGGGGCCTCACTGGCCTCCTGTCATCCTCCTGTGTCTGCTTTTTATCGGGGAGGTAGTTACCAGTGCATCTCCCTGAACCCCTTCACCGCCGGGAGCTCCTGGGCGCGGCTCGGGTCGGCTGTCGCTTTAAGCTGACGCCCCGCATGCGGACTTACAGCTCTTCTCCTCTGTTCTCATCTAATACGTGAGCTCTCTCTTCTGTTCGTGGTGGGTTCACCCGAAGCCACAAGCTCTGTCGGGGCGTTATTCTCGATTATACACTGTTCCTCAAAACACCCCAGTGACCACTGTGCTTGTCGATTGGCCATCGATTTAAAAGTAGAATCAGCAGATTAACATGTCAGTGTCTATTCAGTTCTGATAAAGAATTATTCTCCAAAAGTGTTCCTCATACCAAACCAACACTTGGTGCTGTTAGTCTGAAACCTTTGGCCAATCTGATGGGTGTAAGTTGGTTTTTTACTTTTTTTTTTTTTTTTTAAATTTCTGTTCCCCTGGTTACTAAGGAATATGGGAATCTCTTCAGGAATTTGTTAGCTATTTGCATTTTGTTTTCTGTGAATTACTGATGCATATCCTTTGTTTTTCTCTTGAGTTAGTCTTTTTCGGAATGATTTTAAGAGACTTTTAAGGGTGGAAAGGAAATACTGAAGGGGAAGGAATGTGTTTCCTTAGTAGGAGATGCACTCTCTCTCTCTCTCTCTCTCTCTCACACACACACACACACACACACACACACACACACACACACACACACACTCTCACTCTCTCTCTAAGGCTCACTGCTCTGTCATCTTGACAGGGTTTTGGTTGGTGCTACTGACGTGACGAGAGCCAATATTTTAAGTGTGAAGCAGAACCAAACAAGTGTTGTACGTACAAGTGGCCCCTGCAGGAGGTGCCCCAGATTGTGTCAGGCAAGAGCACAGCGTGGACACGCGTGTGTGATCCCACCTGATACCCATTTTCTCTTTTTATAAATTTATTTATTTTACTTTTTCTGGCTGTGTTGGGTTTTCGTTGCTGCACATGGGCTTTCTCTAGTTGCGGTGAGCGGGGGCTACTCTTCATTGTGGGCGGGCTTCTCATTGCGGTGGCTTCTCTTGTTGCAGAGCACGGGCTCTAGGCGCGTGGGATTCAGTAGTTGTGGCGCACGGGCTCAGTAGTTGTGGCACGTGGGCTCAGTAGTTGTGGCTCACAGGCTCTAGAGTGCAGCCTCAGTAGTTGTGGCGCACGGGCTTAGTTGCTTCATGGCATGTGGGGTCTTCCTGGACCAGGGCTCGAACCCGTGCCCCCTGCATTGGCAGGTGGATTCTTAACCACTGCGCCACCAGGGAAGCCCCTGATACCCGTTTTCAAGAACAGCCTACTTTGGAGGAAAAGAGCTAGGTTTGTACTTGATTAAGTGCAATACATTTCACTCTTTGTAACCATGGAAAATTTAGGAGGGTCAGTGATTTCATAGGCTTAGGAAGTTTGCTCCTGTCGTATATTTGAGATACTTTCCATTGTTTTAAAGTACTGTCTGTGTTTCTCTGTCTCGCTCCCTCTCCCCACTTCTCTGTTGTGTAATAGAAACCGTTTTTCTACTGTGGGAGTATCTTATCGTTTGCAGGCGATAGCATGCTGTTTTTTGTTCTTATTGAAGTATAGTTGATTTACGTACCATGTTTTTAAAGGTGTCTTATGTCAAGCACTTTGAAAACTGACTTAAAATGGATTGACTTCACTGGGTGAATGTGAATTTTCATAAACCCCAGTATCTGTGGACTCTATCCAGCTCATTTGGAAATTTCGTTTAGTGCTTTATGTACAAAATAGATGAACCGTGGTTGACTATGGAAGTTATCGTTGACAAACACTTAACAGCTCTCTGTTTTTAGTTGCAAGATTGCTTGTATCCCTGCATCAGAGAGAACGTGTATCCAGAATTAGACTTGAACTCTGAACAGAGACAGTTCTGGATAGGAAGCCTTGTAGAGTGCCCGGCACACAGTAGGTGCTCAATAAGTATCTGAATGAATGCGTTCAGTGCTGAGTGAATGTATAGGGAAGAGCTGGCACTTAGAGATGCAAACCCACTGGAGGACCGGACGTGGAAGCAAGCTTGTGAACTTCTTAAATTGTGTGAAAGTCACTTTTCCCCACGTGTGAGGACATGGGCTGTACACACCTTCATGTGGGTACATGTGCACGTTTTTAACGTCACGTTTAATTGGAAGGAAATACTGATGTAGACATCCTGGGGAAAGCGGCTCTCTTCACGAGAATAGTCACGGAGGGTCCTTTGCACACGCCGCTGTTATATTATCTTTCCCATCTCGAAATGTAATGAAGGGGCAGGTATTCTGCGTTGAGACACATCTACAGAAAGCAAACAAGCAAAGCCCAGCTCCTTAAAGCCCTCCTGACCCTTCCTGTTTTCCCAGGCATGTTTGCCACGGTGGCCGGGATATCTCAGCGCGCGCCCGTGCACTGGTCAGAGAACGTGGTTGGGGCAGCCGTCTGCTTCCCATACGTCATTGCCCTCGACAGCGAGTTCATCACCGTTCACAGCATGCTGGACCAGCAGCAAAAGCAGACCCTGCCCTTTAAGGAAGGTCACATCCTCCAGGATTTTGAAGGTACTAGTTTCCACGGAATCTTAACCACATTTAGCTGCCAATCTTTTATGCTTGTATTTCTTCACTAAATGCTCTTAAGGGTCCATTGGGAACTTGGCCTCTTGCTGAGCATGGAAGATCCACAGGCAATGGTAATACAGTCTCTGCGCTTCAGGGGCACCGAGGTTAAAGGGAGACAGTGAAACCAATAGCCACAGCAGTTTGAGAGCTTGATAGCAACAAAATAAGGCCAACTGGGAGAGCAGAGGAGGAAGTATTTCCTAGAAGTACCAGGGAGGGCTTCCTGTAGGAGATGGTGTTTGAGCCAAACCTTTAAGGATGAGTAGGAACCTGTCAAGTGGATGTGGTGTGAAAGAACCTGCAGGCAGAGAGAAAGTTCCTCCCGAAGGAGGAACTCTGGGCTCCGGGCCACGCAAGCGATTCACAGGGACTGTGGTGCCTGTTGTATGAGGAGGGCTGGCCTGGGTGAGGCCGCAGCGGACCAGGGCAGCCAGGGAGGGAGGGATTTATTTTACTTTTCCTAAATTTTATTATGAATATCTTCCAGCGTGCTGAAAAGTTGAAAGAAAAGCAAACTGAATCCCTGCCCCCCATTCACCTAGATTTTTTCGTACTGGTTCACATTCTGCTGAGCAGTTCGGAAGTGAGTGGAGGAGACCATGGCGCTTAATCCGGAATCCTTCAGCAGGCGTTTTCCCGCGTGACCACAAAGCCCTTTTCACACCCCAGAAATGTGCTCTCAGCCCCTGCCTGTGGTCAGATTTCCCCGGCTTCCTAAGAATGCCCTTGATGATATCCTCTTCAAGCCAGGAGCTAATCTAGATCTGTGCATTGCCCTTGCCGTGTCGGGACTGGGGCTCCCCAGACATTACCCTTCCTATGTTAGGTACTGGGGACGCAGACCTGCTGAGTCTCGAGGTCCCACGTGAAGCGTGTCAGGGCTTGACTGGGGCCCTGACACGCGTGCCGGGAGAGCTTATTCATGACAGTGTTCCGTGCTGTGCACACTGAGGGGTGGTGGTGGGCACAGGGGATCGGTTGCGGGCACGCAGAGGCTGGCAACGTAACCCACCCCCGGCGGGAACACGGGGAGGCTTCCCAGAAGGAGGGACACCAGTGCAGGGCAGGGGCAGAACCTCATCTGAGTGCGAGGACAGTGACGTAGCTTGACATGGAGGACAGACGATGCAGACAGAGAGCCGGGCAGGGAGGCCAGGAAGGGGAGATGCAGGCGGGGAGAGACCAGGCGGTGAGACTGGGGTGCACACGATGATTCCCAAGGAGGGAGGAGCAGACGGAGAAGAAAAGGCTCTGCTGACCCTGAACGACCTTCAGACAGACAGACAAGGTCATTCCACCGCTTCCTGGGAACAGGTGATAGTTTAGCTTAAAACGTGTCTCCAGAGGGAGCAGAAGTCACTCTCGAAGCTTGGCAGGTGGAGCTGCCTTGGGTGGCAGGTCCGACTCCCCAGGGAACCGTGCCAGGCATCACGGTGCCAGGGGGCGGTGGGGAAGGGAGAAGGTAACGCCGAGATCGGGTGATTCTGGATGACGGGTGAGTGTGAAATGTTATCTTATGGTTCAGAATGTTGCGTTGTAATCTTAGTTTCCTGTAAACTGACTACCTTGGAGAGAAAAGAATTTTTCAAAAGTTTTATATGAGGGATAGCATAATTCTTACTGCTTATTTTCCAGGACTGAGCACTATAGCCTCATTATGGACCTACTCAGCTGGTTTTAAATTTAGCAGCACTTCAGAATTTTAAGAAAAGGCCAAACGTTTTAATATCCCATACTTCGGAAATGTACTGTTAAGAGTTCACCCTTTTCTGATGGTGGGAAGAAGGAAAGAGAAGCATTCTTTCTGGTTGCCGTGGGAACTGGGGGTTGGGGCACTGTGATGACCTTGGTCACACATCCGCTCGTGCTGTCTTTGGGCGAGGGGGTGTGTTTTCTTCCCAGCACTGTGTTCTTACCCTTTCCAACCATGTTCCATTTCTTCCCAGGAAGACTGATCGTCGCCACGAGTAAAGGAGTTTACGTCTTGGTTCCATTACCTCTGGAAAAACAAATACAGGATCTTCTAGCAAGCCGGAGAGTGGAGGAGGCTCTGGTTCTAGCAAAAGGCGCCCGGAGGAACATTCCGAAGGAAAAATTTCAGGTTTGTAATCAGCGGGCCCCCAGGCCGCCGGCTTAGAAAACGTTAGGATCTAAATGCCTGGGCCCTGCAGACCGCTTCCTGTCCGTCATTCAAGTTTCTCTGCGTCTCCACGTTGTACAGATAAGGAAGCAGGTTGCAGAGCAGCCGGACCAACAGCTGTATGAAGTCACGCTGCCGGCAGAGGCCAAGTCGGGATTTGAGCCTCTGACATAATTCCCGCACTTAATTCACCAAGTTGTATCTCTAATCAGCGTCCTTCTTCCAGAGGAGCCTCAGGGCACAGTTGTTACAGACGAAAAGAGGGAACCTCAGGTTAATTTGTCTCCCAATTCAGAATTTATATTTGTTGGGATGGGGTTGAATTTGTAGAGTTTAGGTTTATGTTATCTACAGAAAAAGCTTTGTGAACATTAGATAAACCATCTAATGTTGCCGGAATCCACCTAATTCATTTCCTTAGGAGAAAACTTTTAATGCATTTTAGAAACGCTAACTTTAATATCGTTGGTATGATCAATACAATTGATGAAGCAAACACGAATTATTCTCATGTCTGATGAAATCAGGTTTCCTAAAACTTGCTCCCTGATCAGTTGTGAGGTGAGTTCGGGTTACTCTGTATTTGAGAATAATAAAGCGTAGTATTGGTGTGTGCACGCTTCGTGTGAACATCTAAGTCCATCATTAAAAGTTCTAATGAATTCATGGCGATCCCCTTCTTGTTTCTGTTGGCCAGATTTTCAGGACGATGTGGTTTGTGGAATGTAGCTGTGCTTTCTGGCCTCAGTGGCTTTATGCTGCAGAGGGTAGAAGGTGGAAGAGGTCAGGACGTGTCATTTATGGTCACAGGATAAATACTGATAAACTTTCCATCTTAACTCCTCATTTAAAAAAAAATTATTAAAGTCTAGTTGATTTACAGTGTTGTGTTCATCTCTGCCGTACAGCAGTGACTCAGTTATACATATATATTATTTCTCATATTCTTTTCCATTATGGTTTATCCCAGGCTGTTGACTGTAGTTCCCTGTGCTCTACAGTAGGACCTTGTTGTTTCTCCGTCCTACAGAGAACAGTTTGCATCTGCTAAGCCCACACTCAGTCCTTCCCTCGCCCATCGTAGTCCTCGTTTTTTGAGTGAGATGATCTGTGAGCATTCAGCAGGGGGCAGCAAAAGCACAGAGAAGAAACCCGTCGGTTCAGGGCGCGTTTCTGTGCTGGGAGCGCCTGTTTCTGCCGCGTTTTCCTTGCGCGTCCGCGTGGGGAGGCGGGCGCTGAGGCAGCCTTGGCCACTGCTCTGCCGCTCTCAGGTCCTCTCCGTCCCGAGGGTGGGCCCCGGGAGCTCGTGGGTGTCTCGACGGGCACGTGTCGGGGGCCCCCTCCTTGCACACACCCAAGGGCACGCCTCAAGTGGGTCCCATTTTCTTAGGGAGGCTGCCCGTGTTCTTGGATTTTTGCTTTTTTCTCCCGTTTTCCTGAGAGCAGCTGCGCAGTGGATAGTGGATGGTGTTAGCGCTCGTCTGGCTCTGCCGTCTGCCATCCCAGTTGGGGTTTGTCCACCTGGCACGCTCCCCGCCTTCCCCCTGTGGTATGTGCCCCGGACGTGCACCCCAGTGACCTTGAACTTGGCTCTCGTGCTCATGCCCACGTGGCTGCTGGGCATTCTCCCGTTGTGCCCGAATTGTTTTCAAGCCCCTTTCCTGCGTGTCTGCAGTCCGTCCTCCACGGCCCGCGGAAGGTGCTTTCTGACGCGTCCACCAAACCCTCAGCTGGAAATCCTTCCGCGGGGGCCTCCCTGCCCACAGTCAAGTCTGCACCAGGGGGCCTCCTTCCCCCCGTGACCCCGGCCTGAGCTGTGCTCGCGCCTGAGCCCTGCACTGTGCAGGCACTCCGGGAGCCATCCTAAAGCACTTCTAATCCTGAGAACAAGTCAGGAACAGCCAGTGCCACCGTCCAGAGACCCACTGCAGGGACGGCTGTGGCCTCGGGGCATCCCTGGGTGAGGCCGGGCCAGCCTCGCTGCCCCGTCAGCGCCCCGTGCTTTCACCCACCTCCCCGCACGCCCTGTTTTCTTTACTTGTTATTTGTGCTCTTTTCTATCAGTGGAGTGAACTTCTAAACTCCACCGAGTACAGGTTTCGATACCTTGCTCAGATATGCCCTTTTCTCTGAGTCCACCACATCCCTGAATGCTTGCTCTGCGCTCCCACAATTACACGTGTTAACCTGGTCACAGGGACGGGTTTTTTTTTTTTTTTGCGGTACGCGGGCCTCTCACTGCTGTGGCCTCTCCCGTTGCGGAGCACAGGCTCCGGACGCGCAGGCTCAGCGGCCATGGCTCACGGGCCCAGCCGCTCCGCGGCATGTGGGATCTTCCCAGACCGGGGCACGAACCCGTGTCCCCTGTATCGGCAGGCGGACTCTCAACCACTGAGCCACCAGGGAAGCCCCGCAAACATAGTTTTTATTTCCCTTTAGGAAGGGGAAGAGTGGGTGATATTTGAATCCTGCAGCCACGAGGAAAAAATTGTCATTCAGCGGATTTCTCACCAGCGAGCCAGAGTGTGAATGAGAATTCTTCTGCCGCAGCTGACGGGGCCTTTTTATCCTTCTTGCTATGCGGTTGGCCTTTGTTGCTTCTCCTTTCAGAGACGGAACTGGCATTCCCTCACAACAGAACCTGGCCTCGCTCCTGTCTACTTACTGCTGGCGGCATACAGAGGCCAGTTTTCCCGTCAGACGTAGCTGGTGTCGGGGAAGAGAGTCATGAAAAAACAGCTGCCTCTCCTGCCGTCTCTGCAGGAATTGCTCTGAAGGGACGGGAGGAGATGCTGCTGTGCTTTGGAGAACAAGCCCCTCTGAGAGCTGATCAGAAGCAACAGCCTTTAGGTGTCTCCATCTCCCTCGTTTCTTCAGGGGTAACAGTGTTAGCCGCCTGCTGTGTACCTGGGTGAGCCAGTGAGAGGGAGGAACTGGGCTCTAGAAGCAGAAAGGGCCGGGTTTCAACCCTGGCTCAACCACTTACACGTTAGTCACTCTGGGCTAAAAACTTAGCATCTCTGAACAGGATGTTCCTATCTGTAAAACGGGCTCAGCGAGTGACAAAGTGGAGTTTCATAAAAACTGATCAGGTCAATAGGTGATTACTTAAACGGCAGGTGCTCTGCCAGGGTGTGGGGATGCTAAGATGAATTATGTACATGCCTTCAAGGAACTTATGGCGTATCGAACAGCGGGACGGATTGGAAAGGGGAGGAATTGAAGTCCTAGGGTCTTAAGCACAGTTAGAGTCTTTAGTTGTGAGGTGGTGAGGGCCCGGGCTGTGGTGATGGAGCCAGTGAGGACAGAGCAGAGACGGGTCCACAAGGCCTTTCAGACAAAGGCGGACAAAGCTTGAAGCTGACCGGCTGGATAGTGACAGGGAGGGGGTGGAATTACAGACACCACAGGGTAGCTTCCTTAAGTGCGTTGCTATTTCTGGAAGTTACCAGAACAAAGGGCTCTGTGGTCCAGGAAATTTGGGTAGGACTGTATTAGACACAGATCGACGGCACTTTTATTGCAGGAATCCTCAGGCTGCGGTGTGGATGTGGCTGTGTATCACCGCTGGGGGGAGGGGACAGAACACACAGTGTCTCCCAAGCTTCGGCAGGAAAACCTGCGTATTTATCTGTTTGTCGTTAAGTGGGAGGGGCCTTGTGCTCTGGAAGGATGCTCAGAAGTGCTGGTGTGAAGAGTCAGTTCCACAAGAATGAAGAAGGATGGGCAGCTTCCGGGCTCCCAGGGACGCCGGCGATGTTCACATCCGTCTGAGCACCAGAGGTGGAAGAAATCGAGAAAGCCAGGGAGTGCGGGAGGAGGAATGCGGATCGGGATGGGTGGGAAGTCCACGAAGAGGAAAGAGCGATGCTTAGAGAACAGCTTGGTCTGGGGAATGAGGGGCTGATTGACATGTGTACGTGTATATGTTGAAAATCATTTCGTATAAGCCTCGTTTTTTCCTTACGTTGTAACTTCAGGTTTCCATGTAATCGTTAACAGTTAGCCTGGATTATGACCAGAAACTTAGCTTCGCCTCCTGTCGTGGTTCCAGGGCAGGTCAGAGTGATGAAACCTGTCTCTCCCTGCAGGTCATGTACCGGCGGATCCTGCAGCAGGCGGGCTTCATACAGTTTGCGCAGCTTCAGTTCCTGGAGGCTAAAGAACTCTTCAGGTAATCTGCGGTGTCGGCAGCAAGCCTTCTAAGTGTCCCTCCGTGGTCGGACCTCCACTGTGGCTGTGATGGGAAAGGCCGCCACGGGTGCTGTGCTCCGGCGAGAAGTAGCAAGGCCGTCGTGTGTACACCCCTCGTGCCCCCTGCCCCCCTTAGCCCGAGGGTCACTGTCCTGTGTCTTGAAGGTAGGGCAGATAAGGCGCAGAGTGGTCCTCTAGGAGAGGAGAAGGCAATTCTTTTTTTTTTTTATAAGGAACGTGGAATTTTTTTTTAATTTATTTATTGATTGATTGATTTTGGCTGTGTTGGGTCTTAGTTGCTGCGAGCGGGCTTTCTCTAGTTGCGGCGAGTGGGCTGCTTATTGAGGTGGCTTCTCTTGTCGCAGAGCACGGGCTCTAGGCGTGTGGGCTTCAGTAGTTGTGGCACATGGGCTCAGTAGTTGTGGCTCGCAGGTTCTAGAGCGCAGGCTCAGTAGTTGTAGTGCACGGGCTCTACAGCACAGGCTCATTAGTTGTGGCACACAAGCTTAGTTGCTCTGTGGCATGTGGGATCTTCCCGGACCAGGGCTTGAACCCGTGTCCCCTGCGTTGGCAGGCGGATTCTTAACCGCTGCGCCACCAGGGAAGCCCGAGGAGGCAACTCTTAAAGAGCGTGTTTGACGCCCTGTGAAGGATTCCTAGGAAAACGCGATGGCTCACTTTCCCTTTCCTCCAGAGATTTTACCAAAAGCTCTGAGTTTAGAGAAAGAGCAGGTGCTTCTGGGAAGACTTGAAAAACTGTTCTTCTGAGGACGTTGTAAACGGCACGCTCCTGACCCACCGTCTTAGGAAGCTGAGGTCCCTTCCGCGTGACATGGATCCTGCACGCGTGGGCCTCCCCCTTCACCAGCACCCATCCCACCCCTCTCCCTCCCCAGCCCAGGCCTGTCTCAGCCCCTCCCCCCTCCAGCAGCCCTTCCTCTGGGCTGGGGGTCAGGTGTGCCCTGGGAAGCAGTACTCTTCACGCTCGCTCAGAAGATGAACTTAATTAAACCCGCTGTGATCGCCCTTCAGTGTCCCACGAAGGCATCGCCTGTAGAAGAAGTTTTCCAAATGTTCGCGTAGAACAGATTCCGCACGACTCAGAGCCGTAAGGGAGGAGATGTACACGGGGCCTCCTCCGAATCTGCCTTTGATCAGAGCCGCTGTGTCTCCTGCTGTTTCCCCCCATCTGGGTTTGCGGGGACCCATGTCCCACCGCAGCACTGGAGGTGCCATGTCTGCGGCCGCCGAGCCCTCTGCTCTGTCGTGGGGTCTGGGGGTGGGCGGTGCCCGGCTCGCAGTACTTTGCAGCCCGTGCCGCTGTGGACGGCGTGCAGACAGTGCACCCGTCCAGTGTCGTCTTGTGTGCCTACGTGCACTCTCTTTCTCTTTTTGCTTCATTTAGTTTGACACTGTAATTGCAGAAGCGGCCAGCTCGACGTGCGGGAGCTGATCTCCCTGTACCCCTTCCTGCTGCCCACGTCCTCCTCGTTCACCCGGTCCCACCCTCCTCTGCACGAGTTTGCAGACCTCAACCAGCTGACCCAGGGCGACCAGGAGAAGGTGGCCAAGTGCAAGCGCTTCCTCATGAGCTACCTGAACGAAGTCCGCAGCACGGAGGTGGCCAACGGCTACAAGGAGGACATCGACACGGCTCTGCTCAAGCTGTACACGGAGGCTGACCACGACAGCCTGCTGGACCTCCTGGTCACCGAGAACTTCTGTCTGCTCACCGACAGCGCCGCCTGGCTGGAGAAGCACAAAAAGTGAGTGTTTCTGGCCCCTGGACGCTCCCCCCGAACCCGGGCCTCCCTGCCTGGCCCTTCCCCGCCCCCACCCACGGGAAGCTGTCGTGCAGCTGAGGCACCAGCGTGACTTCTGAGTCGCAGGCATTCATCAGGGGACCACCCGGCACCCTCGGGATCCATCAGCCTCATCACGGTCTGCAGATCCACCGCAGGGGTCTTAGAGGGCACAACTCTCGTGCCAGCTCCTTCCTGACAGATCGTACAGTCATAGGCCTTGTTAGTCAACGGTGTGCTTGTTCAGTGTCCATCTGGGTGGGACTCAGCTGTGTGAGATCCCACACGCGTGTCGGTAAACCAATAGTGCGCTGCAGCCACGGATGGCCAGACTGAATGGACAGATGGGCATCTGGATAAACAGATAGAAAGGGAGGCTTCCGGATCTTGTGGATAAAAGGTTATGGGGTCAAACTCCTTCATTACGGACGTGAGCTGGTCGGCACCCACCCGCTTGCCGACCGGCCACCGGGTACGATGGGGGCCCGTCTGCAGTGATGACGTGGTTAAGTCGGGCAGCTTCTTCATCCTGGGGGCAGGCGGTGGTCTAACCCTTCTAGGCCTTGGGGGGGTTGAGCGCTCCCTGTAAGATTCTTTGTTTGTGACTTTTGGTATGCATTTGACATGGCGGAGGTGCTGGTGAAATTCCACGGAGACCCAGGCTCACGATCCAGACCCTGTTCAGATGCAGGACGTCATGGGCTGGTGACTGGCCTCCACGTGGGAAGTGGCTCATTCAGCCGTTTCCCTCAGTTTCCCGAAGGCACCGTGGAATGGAGTGATTTATTTAGGAACCAGAAAATGCACTGACAGCTCATGGCAGTGACTTGGGGTGGCAGGGTCTGGCGGGGTCAGTGTAACTTTCTAAAAGCTTTCGGGAGAAGAGAAGGGTTCTAGGGAATAGTTCAATATCTTGAGAGGTTGCTCTTTGAGGGAAGAAATCCGATGGCCCCCTGGGGCAGCTTGATCTGGTCACCTGCTGGGGAAGAGGGCCAGGAGAGGACGCACCTGTGAGCGTGGGAGGGTGGCAACAGCTCACAGCCTGGGCAATGCCCGTGTTGTCACCGACCCTGTCCGCTTATAAATGAGGAGGCAAGGGCCAAGGAAGGTAACCTACTCGCTCAAGGTCATACAGTCCCTAAGTAACGAAGCCTGGATTGAAAGTCAGGGCCTGGAACTCTGGGTCCCCCCAGCCTGACTCTCCCTGACCTTCTGTTCTCTGCAGTGCCTGCATACTGTTGGCGTTTATTGCCGTTGAAAATCCTTACCCCAGAATGGCTCAGACAGCATCCCTTCCAAACGGTCTTAATACCTCGTGATAAGTTAATAATGGTTAACTGAAGAGATGGCAAATCACACTAGTATTTGAAGCAAGTTGTAAAGCAATTCCAAATGTGATTTTCCATAGTATCATTATAGTTTTATTTTTTAGCTCATCTTAGATGTGAATACAGTCCTTTCTGGAAATTGATAGGGAATACATTTTCAGACTATAAGTAAATAAACAGAAAGGAGGATCTTTCTGGTGCTTGAAATTTGTTGTTGAACTGAGTTGAATAGCACATGTGGGGCTGGGGGCCCAGGGCCAAGGGCGTCGCTGTGGGGGTACTGCCCGCAGTGGGTGGTCAGGAGAGGGTGCACTTACCCCGAGTTTTCTTCCAGGTACTTTGCACTGGGGCTGCTCTATCATTACAACCACCAAGACGCTGCTGCCGTTCAGGTGAGTTCAAAGGCATCTCAGCACTGTTTAAAAATCACCACCATTTAACTTAGCAACTAAGTTGCTAAGCAACTAAGCCCGTGTGCCACAACTACTGAGCCTGTTTGAAAAAAAATTACAAATTGAAAGAGACCAGTCTTGGCTGATCTACAACCTTTTTTACAAAACAAAAATAGTACTGTTTTAGAAAGTGAATGCTTGAGAAATGTTGGCCAAGGATTTTCTTTTCTTTTCTTTCTTCTATCTTTATTTATGGCTGCATTGGGTCTTTATTGCTGTGCGCAGGCTTTCTCTAGTTGCGGTGCACAGGCTTCTCGTTGCAGTGGCTTCTCTTGTTGTGGAGTACGGGCTGTAGACAGGCGAGCTTCAGTAGTTGTGGCTCGCGGGCTCAGTAGTTGTGGCTTGCGGGCTCTAGAGCACAGGCTCAGTAGTTGTGGCACGCGGGCTCAGTAGTTGTGGCACACGGGCTTAGTTGCTCCGCGGCATGTGGGATCTTCCCAGACCAGGGCTCGAACCCGTGTCCCCTGCATTGGCAGGCGGATTCTTAACCACTGCGCCACCAGGGAAGCCCCAAGAATTTTCTTTTCTTCATCTTTCCATCTCTTTTTTTTTTTTTTTTTTTTTTTTGCGTTTCGTGGGCCTCTCACTGTTGTGGCCTCTCCCGTTGCGGAGCACAGGCTCCAGACACGCAGGCTCAGCGGCCATGGCTCACGGGCCCAGCCGCTCCACGGCATGTGGGATCTTCCCGGACCGGGGCACGAACCCATGTCCCCTGCATTGGCAGGCGGACTCTCAATCACTGTGCCACCAGGGAAGCCTCATCTTTCCATCTCTTTAAAGAACATTGTCAAGACTGAGTTGTTTAAAATGTAAGAAAAATAGGATTTCTTACTGAGCCACAAGACCTGTGACTCCACTGCCTTATCAAAAATTAAGGCTGTGAGTAACAGGTTGTAATTTCCACTGTTAATGTCAATAAGTCTCGCCAGAGAGCTGGGTTGTCATGTCATCTGTGACAAAACTAAAGCTGATCAAGGCCAGTCACTTGCCCGGGTGGCACCGCTGGTCAGCAGGAGAGCTGGGGACTGAGCCAGTGCTCAGGGCCCTGGCAGAGGCTCTCGTGCCCAAATTTCTCATCTTGTCTCTTGTCTTGCATCTTTCGTGAGCGGCCAAGAGCATCAGCTGTGCTCACCAAACTCACCAAGCGTATCCGGTTGCTTTGAGAAATTACCATGGTAACATGATTGTGGAATAGGTAAAAAAAAAAAAAAAGGTTCCCATCAACATACACCCCATGGCTAAGAGCAGATTTGGGTGTCAAAGCTAAAATTTTTATTTTTTTAAAACACCATGTTCTGAGAATTTGTTATAAGTATGTTAATAACATTAGCAAAGCTACATAGACAGGAGTTTACAAAATTGAAATCATATGGAATAAATCACCATATAGGGCAGAAGTTTTTTAATGACACATTTCAATGGCTGTGTGAATAGTTTGTTTGATTTGGGGAATTCAGCGCTGAAGAAACTAGTAACATAAAAAACATTGGTGTGCTGCTACCAGAATTACGGCTGCCTGTGACAAAACGAAAGCTGTTTACACTGCCTGCCTGTTTCCTGGGCCGCCTGCTGGTATGGTGTGGTTCAGGAGTCGGTGTGGTTCAGGAGTCAGTGTGGACAGGTGGGTGAGGACCATGGCACGGACGATGAGCAGGGGGGCTCTCAGGCAGCCCCCATCTCTGCCACACCTCGTGATGCCATTTCATTCTGAGGCTCTGAAAGTAAGATTCAGTTTACAGGGGCTTCCCTGGTGACGACAGTGGTTTAGAATCCGCCTGCCAATGCAGGGGACACAGGTTCAAGCCCTGGTCCAGGAAGATCCCACATGCCGTGGAGCAGCTAAGCCCGTGCGCCACAACTACTGAGCCTGCGCTCTAGAGCCCACGAACATCAACTACTGAAGCCCACACACCTAGAGCCCGTGCTCCGCAACAAGAGAAGCCACCGCAGTGAGAAGCCTGCGCACCGCAATGAAGAGTAGCCCCCGCTCGCCACAACTAGAGGAAGCCTGCGCGCAGCAACGAAGACCCAACGCAGCCAAAAATAAATAAAAAATAAATAAAATAAATAAAAATTATAAAAATAAAAACAATAGTACATATGCACAGTGGAGCATTAAAAAAAAAAGATTCAGTTTACACGGCAGGGAAGTGTCTGGATGAAATATCAAAGGACTTTATTATTAAAATCTACCCTGAGCCCCCATGCAAAAGACAGTAGGAACACCAGGGCACAGGGTCACCAGAGGTTTTGAAAGCACATCAGACTCTCACAGTCCCAAAAGGTCTTCAAAATCAGAAATTCCTGTGACGGAGAAGGCTGAAACAGCCCGGCTGATGGCTGTAGGTGAATTTCTTCTGTGTCCAAACATTGTCAGTGATGATTTTATTTCAGGAAGAGACGTTTTTTAATGCATCCAAGTCTCCTCATATGCTCTATTTACTATTTGTATTACTGTGATCTCATTGAAAAGGAAAGAGAAAGAACCTGGTGCTTTATGTTCCTGATTTCCTGGACCGTGTCCCCTCTTTTTTTTTTTTCATGTGTGTGAAAAAATTAAAATGGATTTAAGCCTCTAAAGTTTCTCCCGCCACTTTGAAATATTGAAAGGCCAGACAAACAAACACGTGCCCTTTCTGAGCGAATTCTAAGAGGTACGTAACCTCCCCTACCTTCTACTTTATTCCTCTCCAGCTGTGGGTGAGCATCGTCAACGGGGATATTCACGACTCCACGCGCTCAGACCTGTACGAGTACATCGTGGATTTCCTCACCTACAGCCTCGACGCAGACCTCGTGTGGCAGTATGCTGACTGGGTCTTGCAGAAAAATCCGGAGGTTTGTGCTTCGTAAACGCATTCGTTCAGGGGCGGCAGGGGGACTGGTGAAGATGGACAGAAAAGTTGATTCTAGGTGGGAAAACAAGCTACACTTTAACCCTTCTCTCCACTTTTTTTCTCCCCCCCCCTTTTAATACATGGCTTGAGCCGTCTGAATCCCAGCTCTCGAGGAATTTCTGCATTTCGGTGCTTCTGCACACCTGTGTCGGGGGCAGGCCACTGTGTAGGAAAGCAGAAGGCACCGCAGGTCAGGTCTTAGCATCTTCTTAAACACCCGTGTGTTGACCCCCATCCCTAACGGCATCTGGTCCCTTGTTCTCTGCGGGCTGGAGAAAGACCAGACTGTTGCCCTGCAGGGCGTGGAGCCGGGCCTGGGGCGCACCAGGCAAACCGTCGCCCTTGCTTCTATGTCCCCAACCCCCTTTGAGGGGGTGGGTTGGGGACATAGAAGGGCCCTATTTTGTTGTTTGTTTTCATCAGTCATTTTACTAATCCCTAAGGGAAATGTAAATCAAAACCATTTCACACCCAGTAGGATGGCTAAAATTTAAAAGACAACAATAGTACACGTTGGCAAAGATGCAGAGGAATTAGAACTCACATTCATTGTTGGTGGGAAAGTAAGACAGTACAGTCATTTTGAAAGACAGTCCGGCGGCTCTATAGATGGTTAAACAGAGTTACATATGAGCCAGCGATCTCACTCCTAGGTATGCATCCAAGAGAAATGAAAACCTTTATTCACATAAAAACTTGTACATGCATATTTATGGCAGTATTATTCACGACAGCCAAAAGAAGGAAAAAACCGTGCCGTCACTTGATGAATAGATAAATAAAATGTATATGCACAAAATGCAGTATTACTTGGCAATAGTAAATGAAAGGGGTTCTTTTTAGTATTTTTTTAAATAAATTTATTTATTTTTATTTATTTATGTTTGGCTGTGTTGGGTCTTTGTTGCTGTTGCGTGGGCTTGGGTCCCACGTGGGTAATGCACACGGTGGGTATGGGCGTTTGGAGAATCGAGTTCACTGAATCTTCAGCCGCTTGTATCTTCTTTCACGTATGATCCAGCAAGGATGATCTAAACGTTACAGAGTTGTTGCTTCACGGATTGTCAAAACCTACCACCAATAAATGTTTGGTTCCTTAGTTTCCGACCCTTTTAGAAGGAATTCCGGCTGGAGCTCTGCGGCATTTCCTGTCTCTGTCAGTGCTTCATCTGCACTGTTTTTCCGAATCGTCATGTTTTTTTGTTTTTTTTTTTAATGTATACCATTTTCAAAGTCTTTATTGAATTTGTTACAATATTGCTTCTGTTTTATGTTTTGGTTTTTTGGCCGCGAGGCATATGGGATCTTAGTTCCCCGACCCGGGATCGAACCTCCAACCCCAGCATTGGAAGGCGAAGTCTTAACCACTGGACCACCAGGGAAGTCCCGCAAATCATCATGTTTTTGACAGTGGTTTTACCCAAAGCGTACAGTGCTCAGAATGAAGATAAGATGGGGTCTTTGCAAAGCATGATAAATAAACTGCTATTCTTCTTTCAGGTTGGAGTTCAAGTTTTCACCAAGAGACCTGTGGACGAACAGCAGAGTAGATTTAACCCAGATGATATCATCAGTTGCCTTAAGAAATACCCGCAAGCCCTGGTCAAGTACCTAGAACATCTGGTCATGGACAGGAGACTGCAGGTGAGGCCCCAGAGCGCAGGCTGAGCTGCGTGGGCTGCGGTGGCATCACCGGGACCTGAACCTGGCCCATGGGTCTAACGTAATGTCTCGTGTTCCCGGCACTCAGTCTGTATGCGTGGGAGGTCAGGGAGGGAGCCGGATGTTGGTGAAAGAGACCTGCGGCCTAAGTAGCTTTTTTTCTCACCTTCCATCTCTTGTCCCCTCCGCTTATATTTTCTTCTCTTTTCCTTCCTTGTTATTCTTTTTTTTTTAGAGTTTTTGTTCCTTGTTGTTATTCTTAAAGGAAATGAGGAAAGCTGTCCCCTTTTTGGAGAATACCTGAATCCCGTGGCCCTTACTTCTCAAAATGAGATATTTTCCCATAGATTTTAGATTCAGCTCCTCTGTGTTGTGGTTTCTGAAAACTCTTGCCCCAGTACGCGTGTTCTGTGGTTGTCCTGTAGCCCCCACTCACCTTGCACGTCCAGTCTCAGGCACCTGCTGGCTGGTTGGTTAGGGGGCGTTCTCTGGGCTCCCCTAGCAACTGCTGTCTGTCTGCTTGTCCTCCTGTCCTGTAGAAGGAGGGGTACCACACGCACTTAGCCGTCCTCTACCTGGACGAGGTGCTGCAGCAGAGGCCCAGCGCCAGTGGCAAGGATGCAGAAGTGACCGAGACGCAGGCGAAGCTACGACGCCTGCTCCAGCAATCCGATTTGTACCAAGTCCACTTTCTGCTGGGTGAGTGCATCTCTCTGCATAAACGTCACCGGCGGGGGTGGGGGGTGGGGGCAGGGACGGAGGTCTCTGTTCGGGGGCAGGGGGTGGGCTGTGAGCCTCTGTGGCACAAAGTCAGCCTCCTGGAGGGCAGGCGAGCCCCCTCGTCCGTCCTCCACCCTCTGGAAACGGATAGGGCCCTTAGCTGATGACACGCAGGCTGCCCTGGGCGTTGGGAGGTCTGCATGTCTGCTGAGACGAGCTGCTTTGAACTTGCTTATTCGGCTTGGAAGCCCTCAGGTCAGTTCCTTCTGAGGCTCCAGCTCTGATCACGGCTTTGAGGGTGGCACTGCCCCCAGCACCCCACTCGGCTGCCCCAGGCTTGGAGGAAGGCGGGGGTCCTGGAGGGCGTCTGGTTTTCATTTCCTCCAGGGCAGAAACCACAGTGTCCATGCTGTGTACGAGCCTCAGAGCAGCACCTGGCAGACTGAACTTGCCTCTTGCGGTATCGGGCACCGTGGAGTGTCCGGGTTGCCCTTACTGGGTTAATGCATTTCTCTTTAGCAGCTTTTAACACCACTCTCTGACCATTAACTACACCCATTCTCACTGTTCGCGGTAGTCGTGTCCTGTAGAGTCTCCACACTGAGTTCTCGGACGCGGAGCCATCGTACCTGGAGGGATGCAGGGTCAGGCTCCTGAGAGCCTCTGGTCACATCATTTTCACCAACCGATCAATATGTAACCTTCTTTATGTGTGTTTCTGCTTAAAGACACCTTATTTAACGTATGTTGTTGATTCGATGACACTGAGCTCGTGGCCAGCAGCACGTGACTCAAGCCTGAATGATGCTCGTGTGACACATGTACTTTGTCCTAAGGCACATGGCAGCCCTCCTGGGAGGCTACGTGGACACCCCTAAACTCTGGGTGTCAAGGCAGCCTGGGTGGCAGAGCTCAGGGGCGTCAAGGCAGCC